CGGTGGTGTACAGCAACACGATTCAGTCGCTCGTCGCCATCTTGCGTGCTATGCCTAACCTGGGCATCACCTACGGCAATAAGGATCGAGAGGTAAACTACACATTTTTAATTACCTTAACCCTAGTTCGTAACCCGTTGACAGATACTCACAACCGACAGAAACAAACTCTTCACTTTGACATTATCTCATTGGTATTAGCGGTATTAGGTTATTTTATCAATCTGTCGCCCAAACGAAAGTTTTCCATGCCGTTCGATAAGTGTAGCAGTTTACAAAAAAAAATATGCAATAGCTTTAGAAAGTAAATATTTCAGAGAACAGGGACTTTAATGTATATGTTGTGATGATATTTCAACTGAATTTATTTTATTTAAGAATTACTATTAAATTATTTATTCCAAGATATCAATCGAATAGTAGTCATTAGTTTACTAAAATCGAAAATCAAAGCGAGTATTCGTTGCGTAAACGATAAACTGCGTCGATTACGTGTCGGCCGTATTCTATAAATAATGGACGATCGTCAGTAAAAATAATGTCGATTGCACCGAACTCTACATTGGGAATAAGTGCTCAGAGGCTTCCGTTTGCCTCTAATGCTGATTACAAAGCAATTTGTGGGAGTGCCCGAGATACTGGCGTGTAATGATACTTATTGCATCGTAACAATTCCACGTCATTGATTCATTTTCATGCTGAGGAACCACCGTAGTTAAATAAAGCATAGGTTTTGTTCAGTTTAAAAAAAAGTTTTCATCAAAATCATGTTTTGACCCTCGACAATTTTAAAGTATGATACGGTTATCTACATAATTTTCTAGTGAAAGGTTTCTATGAATAAATGAAAATTGCATCTGCATTTCTCCGAAGTAGTTCGATTTCATGAAATGTTCGCTCTATGGAGATCAATATTAGGTATTCGTTATTCATGAAAGTGGCTCCGCGTACCAGGCGTCCGAGCCCGGCTGCATTCTGCACAACAGCTTATTGCATTATTTGTTATTTGTTTGCAATCAATACACAAAAGCAAATTATACTATTATTGTAAAGCTTTCCGTTATTTTAAAACGATGTTTTACATTTTTGTATAAAGTATGGCGTTTTATTGGAAGAGACAAATTGATCAACTGCAAAATAGACTTAGTTAGGTACTAAGTCTATAGATATAACAAGTTTACGGAAAACCAATCAATTTTCCATTTTAGATAAGGCCAAGTTAATTCGTGAACCTGGTTATTGTGAAGCGTTAACGACACATTGCTAACTTAATTATAAACAGTAAAACCAAATAAGGAGAACGTCGTATTTGCGATAGCGCGATTCAATTAGCAACTAACAGACGACCAATGAACATGTTATAAAATCTGTAGGGGATATGTTGGACATTGTTATCATCATGAGTACCTGTTCGGAATGTCAGACAGATAAGGTATCTTAGTTCCGTTGCGACCTGTTGAAGAATGGTACGCGTCAACGTCATCGGTTACACAACGAACGAGAGATCATTCTGAAAACTAATTAATTCACTCGTCACGAGATGTGACGCACGTACCATTTGACATAGGTACATCGTAAACGGATCTTAAAAGTCCATGAGACAGCCATAAAAAATATCCGTTAGTGCTCCTTCTCACGCAACAAATAATATTACCGACTACTGGAAATGTACTGAGTTCGATCCGTTTTAATGAATTCTGCTAATTATAATTGCCTCCTGCCATGTAGGTATGCCGTGAGGAACGTCGCTAGTGAACACAAGGCACTATATGTAACCTCATGCACCTATCTCTTTATCTCAACGAGAAACATGAAAGCAGTGGACGTGACAGCCCTATCCGGCGCAAACATGTTGAAACAAAACCTTAGTACCACGCACTGTGGAACACATGAGGGTTGCTTCGCATTGTTAATGTTCAGGCCTAAGTTGTACGGTTGGTTTCATTCTGAACGCATTCATAGTTCATCTTCTTTTGTTTAAGTTACAAGGTAGTGGGTGAATTATTTATTGCACGCGGTTTATTGGCGAGCATACTCTAGGGCACAATGTCAAGACGCGTTATTTTCCACCGTAAACTGCCACCTCATTCAAAGAAAATGTTTCCGCCTCAATCTTAATATTGACTGTAACAGCAATATAATCGTCCACTATTTAAATGCCCTTGTGCTTTACAAAAGCAAAGCTTTAATGCCAGCCTAGGTAACGACCTAATGGACGTTCGTGTATTTAAATGAATATGCAATGTGTAAGTAACAAGGGTGGCGATAGCGGGTTATTCCGAGGAGGGGTTGTGAATGGCACGCGGCGAGCTTCCCGTCACCCTTGCGGGCAGCGCGCATGCGCCTCACAGCCCGCAACACCCGTCATAATTAGAGCATATTTCACAGAAACCTCTGCAACCAGTAAAAGCAAAAGCCTAATGTACGAGTTATTTATTTCATAGCATGGCATTTCATGCCGCACTGCCGCTAGAATAAACTTTTATAATACCCAGAACAAGCCGGACTTGTCTATGGTACATAAAATATGAGTATTTATGATGCATTGCAGTCTGGTCGTCAACAAACTTCGTCAAACTTTCAGACGAAGACTAAACACAAGAGAATGTTGTACATTCTCATTGTCATTAGTAAGAATTCTTTCTTACATGGCCGTTGCGTAACGCAAGCGTACGGTTCTCGAGACGAGTTTGCTAAATGGATTACTAATCGGATTAGCGTATGTCGAAGATGCTGGGTCACTCAACTCCAATTGAGACGATATTGATGTTGAACACGAATTATTATGAGTCATCTTTCTTTATAGCTGCGTTTATTACTTTTAAAGTTAAGCAATAGTCGTTGCGTGATAGCAATTTTAATTTTATTATGTGCCTGTGCTTACTGGATATAACAGTAGTACGGGTGTTCCCTAACTATGGTATTAGAACTCTTTCTTCGAGAGACTCCTCATAACATTTGCATTTATTATTATTATCTTTTCTTTTCTATTTTTTTTTATTTAACGTTGCCGTGTTTTTAAGTTTATTACATTACCTATCAAAGATCTTTCTTTACTAAAATACGTAACAATTATATCACTAATGAGCTATGCTTCATTAGTTAAGTTGTTAATACACAATGACTGTTAATGTTTTTGTGAACATTTTTTACATATTTACTTCAACTTATCTAATTTATTTCAATCACGCTAATGACTTAACTGATTATGATAATGATTATTTTGTTTGTATTTATGTTTGTCGCGTGGTTGACGAGATAATGAAAATTGAAATCGTATGCAATATAGATTTTTTTTTGGGAGGGGAGAAATGACTTCTCCCGCCCAGAGCCGAGCGAGAGGGAGTGTCCGACTCTTACTGACTAAAAACCCCCTGTTCCTTCTCCTGCTCTGGGCCGAGGTCGCGGTGCCTCATTGCGCTTACCCCGCAACCCCGGCTGATAGAAATATAGGTTAAGATATCAATTAACTGTACTTTGTACAATAGGAAAATGTTAGACATTGTAAATAATATTTTCCTTCTATTGATGCCTACTTTCTTTGTGTCTGAATATTGTCTATATATATCTTCCAACGGCATGTACAAGAAACGTACAATACTATAATTCTCATAGTAATTATAGTGCATACTATTCTATAATTATTAATTGATTCATTACTGCTGCATGGTTGGCGCGGTAGCTAACTGGCTGGCGCGCAACGTGTCGCGGGTTCGATTCCCGCACGGAATAACTCTTTGTGTGATCCACAGATTGTTGTTCCTTGTCTAGCTGTGATGTGCATGTGAAATTGTATGTTTGTAAACGCACCCACGACACAGGAAAAAATCCTACTGTGGGGCAATGTATTAAAAAAAAAAAAAATAACATAAAATATAACTACAAATGGGTTACACTTCTCGATAACTCTATTTTATATGAATTGATAATCACTACAAACACAACTAATAAAAAAATTACCAAAATATGTAAACTGTAGACATAATTGATTATTTTGTAATCAATAGTTTTCTTCCATCGACACGGCGAAATAACGAAACGGTTACGAAAGCACAGTGATAATGGTGTCCTTTGCTTGTTACCATTCACTGCATTCGATAATGTTATGGTAATAGTAGCGAAAGTACAGGTTTCTCTTTCACAATTATTTATGAAAATGCAAAGTTTTGCAAGCCATTTTTTAATTCACACCTTTTATTTACACTTCGGACAAAGACCTATGCGTTGGTAGATAGTAAAATTATCAATCAGAGAAAAGACGTCCATTGCTAACCAAAAATACTTCCTTACCTTGCTTGTTTAGTATTTTCATATGCAAGTGGTAATTTGACGATCTTTGATAGGTCGGTAACAGTGTAAGATAATGCTGCTTTCGGATAACTTATACAAAAATATTTGTTATAGAGCGATGGCAAGATGGTGTTTGACGTGATCCAACGGATGGAAGACACTGAGCCGTTCAGCGAGGAATTGCTGGCGGCGATGAAGAGGCTCTGGGCGGACGCAGGCGTGCAGGAGTGCTTCGGTCGCTCCAACGAGTACCAGCTCAACGACTCCGCCAAATAGTGAGTACACAAACCTTATGACACGTTCTAGTGCAAAGAAATTCTCCACAAACATTACACGATCTGTTACGTTACGGTCATTTCGTAATCCCCATAATATTGAATGAGTAAAGGTTGACTTTCTTCGCGGTCGGAATGTAGGTCTTGTTTTAGAACCAAACATTGAACTTACCAGTTGCATCAGCTATTACGAGTCGAGTATTTCAATAATGAAGTGCAAATAAAGGTACCAACATGAAGGTTTATTTAAAAAAGTCTGCTGTGCACACTTAAAACTAAGTTTTATAATACTACATTAACAAACTAACATACATACATGTACCTACATAGATTGCAAGTTAAATAAAAGCTTGTAAAATGTAGCCATACATAATGTTGCCTAAATTAAATCGTCTTTGGTTATTCATCTTAGAACTGTTTAATTAACATGTAGAATTATAGGCTAGCGTTGTTACCGTTTCTCTTGTGGAGTGTGAACTGCAACGGTTCGTTCGGCACGTACGTCGGTGTTACACTATAAGTTAACTCGCCGTACCGCCACGAGACGTCATATTTTTGAAATATCTGGAATACAAATTAATAATCATTGTTCGCAAATTGTTACTCAATACAACATAGGCCGTATAGACTTAGAAAGGTCTACCTAGCTCTCAAAACTCACCTTAGCAAGCAAAAGTTGCAACTCGGCTTCAGCAAATCTCTTTCCAATACACATTCGTCGTCCGAAGCCGAAAGGAAGTGAGGCGAATGGGTGGATCCCTACTTCCTTTTGCTTGCGACACACCTCCATCGCTCTTGTATATGGGCATCCTGGCTTATTAGCATTAGTTATCGATCCTGAAACAGCCTGGTCAGAAGCTCGAACATCATTGTCACGAAGCCATCTTTCGGGAACGTATTCCTTCGGTGACGGGAAGTACCGTTCTTCGTTTGATAGGATGTAATGCGGGAAAACGACGTGCGACTGAAAAGGAAATAGTATTATGTTATCCTTTTCCTCTTACACGCACAAATAGAGCGTCTAAATTATTACGATATTTCTTGAGATATTTATTGCCTAATGAATACTTTTTTTTACTTATCTCAATATCTTACCCCTTTAGGAACAGAATATCCAGATATCACAGCATCTGATTGGATACACCTTCCGTTGCCTAAAATAACTGGTTTGATTCTGTAACAAACACAAATACATTTTTCGTTGTGTGTCTAAGATACATATCTGTTTTATAAGGAAAACATTCAAAGTCAAAGTAAACCATAAACAGGTACTTTTGAAACGTCAAAATAGAATAATAGTCTATCAGTCTGTTCGTCAGTGAAGCTCGGTGCTATGAGGATCATACTGGACTGAGATGAAAAAATACAAATTAATTGAGAACCTCCTCCTTTTTTTGAAATCGGTTAATTAAATCACTTTCTAAAAATAGAGAATATTCCTTTTTTCCTGTTCAAAGTACAAGGGTTAATATCCTTCTGCGAAATAGTCGCATCCTGTATTTGCGTGTCGCGTTTTAGAAACAACTTCTATTAAAATTAGCAAATATGTATTTTATGACTAATAAAACGTTGCTTAAGCCTTTTATTGTATTGAATAATGTACTTTTTTATATTCGACATCTATATTCGTCAATTAATGAATGCTTTTTACTTATTGGGGCGTGAAGACCAGTGCAGCAAGTTTTTAAGTATACATAATTACATAATATTGTATGTACACAAGTATTGTTACACTTGACTTGTGGACTTGGCTCCTAATGGCAACTCAGGTGCCGATGTAACATGACGCTGACCATCATTGGTCACGTTACATTAAGACGATACATTTGTATCAAGTTTTTATCCTGCAGAACGCATGTTGGAGGTTAGTGGACTCGCGACACGAGGAAAATCTCTTATTACTGTTTAATGACATTCGTTTAAGATTAGGACTGTACCCGAAGTGTATTGGAAGTGTTTCTGTCTATTTAATTCCAATTAATCACTCGTTAACCCAAGATAAAAAGCACAACCACTACATGGTATAAAACAAAGTCGCTTTCTCTGTCCCTATATCCCTATGTAAGTACGCTCAAATATTTAAAACTACGCAACGGATTTTGATACGGCACTTTAAACTGATAGAGTGATTAAGAAAGAAGGTTTATTTATTTGTATAAAAATATCCATGATGCAAGATGAGTTAATCAGGAAGTTTAATTCATATTAAATATTTCACAGAAAATCTCATATGGTGTGCCTTATGTAGGTCGAAAAAACCGTAAACTGTCCGTCCGGTGACTAACACGCCAACAAAGAGGAATTATAACCTTTCAAGCGCACAACAGTCATTTTATAAAAGTGCAAAGCTACCTTACAAATTTTAAGGGATTCATAATCGGGAAGTATGACGAATAGTTTACTCTTTCGTACTATTGTGCAACCTGCTGACTTGCGATTGTTATAGACCTTGTTGATAGACTATTCATGTTCAAACCTATCAGACATGTTGCTATTATTGGAGCTATAATAAGGGTCTGTGTCAGATCATGAATTATGATTATTTAATTTTTAGAAAAATATCTCTATAGTAAATGGATCTCGATGTATTTGTTTATGGCAATTGAATCGCCATTTGTCGTTAATGAGGGGCGTAATTTATTGAAAATTATTTATTTGATAAAAAATACACACGATTGTTATTAGAAAACAATTACTCACCTCAATGATTCCTTTATACAGGCTTTGAGGTAGGGCATCTTGTCTAAGTCTTTACTAGTCATTCCTCTTTCTCTCGGAAGGTTCTTATCCATTTCCATTTGCAGTTTTTTCTGTGCCCTTTCGTTGTTGGCCAGTAAGTACAAAGTACTCGCAGCCGCCGCTGCCGTTGTATCAACGCCAACCAGCAACAGGTCTAAAGCCAATATAGTGGCAACCTTTTCTCCGGAAGCCTTTGCAATTTGAGAACAAATACCTTTATCAGTTAACCTCTTTAAACACAACGCTCTAAACGCGTCCAGAGCTTCAATATATGTTTTGTAAGCCGGCGTTGAGTATATTCTCCACAAAGGTGCAGACAGTTCCAATACAGGAACGCTATGGAAGAACCCGTGAATACACCTGATTATCTCCTTAGCTTCAACATCGTTATCTTTTAAACATCCGAGTCTTGTACCCAAGGCCCAAGCGCCCACAGCTAAAACAAAAATGAGTGTTTTCTTAAGGCGTTAAATTACCACTTGGTGCAAGTTTATGCGGAAAAGCACAATAGGGTTCACAGAAGGTGGCGCCGCTCGTCAAGTAGCACTTACACTCAAGGGCCCATTTGTAGAGTTCCGTGAGAAAATCTTTCGGCAGCTCACGATTATCGTCGAGAATGCATTCCATTCTGTAACGAAAATATTTTAAAATGGGCTTAGTGCTTTAATATTTTAACGATCGCGTGTTGAACTAACTTAAATAAACTACGCTCTAAATAGCAGGGAGCCTTTAATCAAGACCTAATTTGAAGCCATTTGATATTACGTTAACTTTGTTTAAGCATTAAATATTGCGCGTCAAGTCACAAACGAAATGCTAGGTACGTTTGTGATTGAATGAGGTTTGTTGTCCGCAGTGACTCAGTAAGTAGCATAGTTGTCGCTCAAAACAAATGCGCAGACGCCGCGCGGCGTTGTTAAAAACGGGATGTGGTCATTAAACTGAGATTCCACACTGAGATTAGTTGAGGCAAAACGAAGTACTAGACCACAGAATTGCTGTATGCATTAGCAACTAACATAAGACGTTCTGGCACGTCTTATATAGCTTTTTCTCATTGAACGTTCTATTAACAAAAAGTTTATACTTAGCTAATTAAATAATTTTGTTGTATTGAACTTGCAAAGTTGAATTAAAAAGAGGAAAATATTAATAAAGTGCTGTATTACATTTATTCAGATTTTTAATCAATAATTCGACAATGTATACAAATAAATATAACACAAATACCTAAAATAAATAGTGCCCCGAAACTATTCTTTAAACACCTACATTGATGGTGCACGTCATAATGTGTACTATAGTTCCATTACGATGACAGAGATTTATCACTATCATGTTTTCTTTCCAAAATAACACTACGAAAATAGCTCGGTAAATTAAACAGATCGCGGTTATTTTTTAAGATAAAGAACAAAAGGCATGATACTGACTAGACGTACCTGTGAACAAAATCGTCGGTCACATGTTCTAAATCGGGCACTGCGGCCCGTGCTGCCTCCGGTGCTATCAATGCTTTAGATACTTTAGATCTAAATCTAGACCACGGCTCCCCGTGCCTGCGAGAACAAATGCACAACTTAGAACACGATGTAACTAGAACCACTGAATACTAACTACATGTCCAGTACGAGTATTATATTCCTTACACTCCAATCAGACCAGGCTCATCTCCAAAAAAATCCCTCCTCAAATTCTGTTTATAGTGACTTAGACACGGTGCCTTAGCTCGATGTGGCATCAAATCTTCCCGCCGGTAAATCCTTGCAGTTTCCTCAGCACAGAATGGAAACACCAAGTCAGGGTGTCCAAACAATTTAGACACTTTAGCCGCTCCCCCGTCACCTGCCAAGGCTCTCAGGAACCACAGTGAAACATCCAAAGCACGGGTTCTCCAAGGGTTCTTCCCTATAGCGAATCTCCAACTATTACCGAGGATAGGCAGGGGCCTAGGGCCCGGCATCACTGCGTAGCACCGAGCGTTACTCATCGCGGACGATTTGTCAATGGCTTTAGGTTCAGCCCCTAAGTCCAAGACTACAGAGGAAGCAGTGGGGGCTACCATGTTACGTTTTCAGCGACGTCGATGTCGTAATACTCGCCACCCGGCTCAGTTGACGCAGTGCACACGCATGCGTACAAATAAATACAACCTCAATTGATGTAGCCAGACCTCTCACTCACATCTGGAGGGGGTTGACATTTTCTTGGAAATATTTTTTGGCGCAACCAAAGCGAGTTTTTTTGAACTGAAGGTCCTTGATAACTGACGAGAACAAGCCCTATAGGCTACAGAACAGTTGTGAACCTTGTATTGCTTTCGCCATCACTAATTATATGCTTTCTTAATTCCATTTTACGACATCTATGGTGATCTTAATTGTTGACAAAACAGTTTGAAACTATGCGTATTTGTAACGCCCTATTGTCGCAAGTATGATGCCACTACTTAGAGCGTACTTGTTAATAGTAGAAACTGGCTAAAGGAAAATGCAAGTCATTGCTAGGCTTCTCAATTTCACTCTGCTGTATTATTTCGTAAATTGTTTATCTAACATTTAGAACCATAAGCCTATAGGAAACAATATAAAATTTAACGAGCACACAAATTGTTCTGTTAATAAAGAGGTTGGCATAATATCGCTAGTCGTGCATGGTACTTCGCACGATGTTAAGGTAACAGGCATACGGGGATAAAATTAGACCGCGCCGATCAAAACGTTCAAATTAATTTTACTCACGTATTTAATTTGCAAAATGGGGCCACGATTAATTAAAAAGTCTGGGGGTCTACTCTCTTTCTTCGAAACGAAACTTTCGGAAACGAACGAAACTCGAACGAAAGAACGTTGACGACCCTACTCTGCTTTATTTTCGGACACGCATACGAAGTTCCATCCAGAGATAATTTTCGTGAACGAATGTAATTGTGTAGGTTCTTTATAATGTGATTTGTGGTAAATTACGGTTTTTACTTAAAGTTAAAATTACAAATTCTCTGGCTGCTTCTTTAAATTCCACATTATGTATGTGGTTTGTAAAACTATTACTTATAATATGCCACGCAGAAAATAAAAATATATTTATTTTTGACGGAATTGTAATTTATCGTGTAATTTATCATCGTTACCTTATAAAACACTCTTTTACAGACATTTATAACCGACTAATTTAAAGAGTACTATTTCATGCCAAGAAAGGGTTGTTATGTATGACGACCAAAAATGGCTGTATTCGGACCGTGCACGACATGTGTCAAAAAATTTATGTCAACAGATTGTTTATTTTTATCAATGTACGAATTAATAAAATATACTATAAAAGACAATAAATATATGTGGTGAAAGGAATTTTATTGAATTGTATATATTGAATTGAATTGTATAAAAATGGATATTATTATAAAAATAGGATTTGAGTGTTATAAACACACAATCATTTTCTAACCCCAGACTGTGCTAAAAGGTAAAATTGGTGTTAGAAGAACATGTGAGGGATGTGGAAGAACAAAGAACTAATGCGAATAATAATATGGCTGTGCGTTAATATTGATTGTGTAGTGGTGGAAGAAAATTGTATGACAAAGCGAGTCGAAGCTAAATGTCCAATTATTTACATTTGAAAAGAAACCTGTCGTTGAATTTGATAAAAATGTATGCAATGTTAATTACTTACTATTAAAAAAATGTAATAGAATTAAAACAAAGCCATTAATATTACACTCATGTTCAATTACAAATGTATGTAACTGGGATGGCAATGTGTGATATTTTTATTTTGAGCATTTTTTGGTAAATAATGCTTATTTATGTTAACTTAATATACTTGGATGTGTTACAGTAATATTGCTTTAATGTTATATAAAATGCTAATAAGTTGTTTAAAATGATACTCCTTGTTATATCTGTTCTAATAGAAAATTTAAATTTAATTTAAAATGATATCTAATTTTTTTTTTAATTTTTGTTTAATAAGTGCACAACTTTAGGAAATAAAAATTAGTATTTTTTTTCAAAAGTGTTATTTTATTTACTTCCCCATTTTTACATATTTGTGCCGCGACGAGCGTAGCAATTGGTTTCTTTACCTTCCACCTAACTAACACGTTCCGAATAATCGGAGTACCTACATGCAAACATATCATAACAATAACATACAACTTATGAGTTTTTGTTTGAAAACTTTTCTAAAAGTTAGTTTCTCATAGCTCCTAAAATAATAGGCGACTGTCCTACAAACTCTAAGTCGGGAATTATGTTAGGTATATTAAGTAGATTGCGCAGGCAGCGCCGGTTGTTCCTTCTACGCTCTACACGTTCTTCACGTAAAAGAGCTTCGATTTAAAGCATTCTTGTAGCCATTTCAAACAATTTTCATACAAAATCCACACTAAACGAAAATTAAAAGGTAATACTTTTGGTTTCGTCAATTTGAAGTAAAAAATCCGAAAAATCGTCTGTCAAATTCAAAAGTTCGTTCGGAGCTAATAAGGATTAGAGTAGGTTCTAAATGTCAAACAATTTCTTTCGAACGATATTTCGGAACGAATTGAAACTGTGGTAGGAAACACGCGAAGTTTCGATCGAATGTTCGTTTTTCGTAGAATAAGAGTAGACGCCCTGGTGTGATAACAGCGTTGTTGTTACGATTATTACCGTGGGATGTTTGTATGTAGGTACACATTAGTACATTCTGATAATTTGATGTTCAGTGTTCATCTGTATTACGCGTGACGTCACCGCCATCAATTCAATTTGACAATCCCTCGATGGAAGCAGGGAGCGGTGCTCGCGCGCCGATTGACTCGTCCGGTCTCTGCTCAATGCGTACATTTGTGTATCTTCCGCAATCCCACCCATTCATTGCATTTAAACTAAATTGTTCTATCTTTATGAAGGCAGTCACAATAATATTACTTCATAACGTCCATCTTTATCCTTATCACGATGTTTCTTAACATGTTATTATCATGTATTGCAAGATTTGTCACATTATTTAGGCACTCCTAGAGGCACACTCTTTCCATTCATGCGTGATCAGCGTTTTCAGTGTTGCCAATACGCAGCACAGTTGCAACCGTGGCCTTAGTTACGAAGTAAATATTATTTAGTTTCTGCGTTAACTCTAAATAAATGATAAATGTCAGTAAGACGATCATCCTTGTATTATTATCTATAGCAAGTATAAAATGAAGCGACGGTGCAAATGTTATCCAGTATTCTTCAACACAAGAATTTGTTCCGCTCAGTTGATTCCAACTTACGCACAATGATAAATGGCAGTTATTTATTCGTTTACTGAATCATCATGATAAACACGTTCCCATAAACAGGTACGGTTTACATACTAGTATTTAATCAAGTTTATAATCCTTGACGAGTTAACCGTTACGATTAGTGCTTCAACATAGCCGTTTGAATATCCGTAACCACGTTAATTAAAAATAATACGTCGGTTGTAGGTACAACTTACACTAATAAGCACAAAGAAGAATCGATTTACGTCCAGCTTTTTCATCACAACCGCTATGGAGTTATTCGCCGGAGTTTGAATTCCCGAAGGGGTGTCTTCTACCTTCATCATAGGTCAATAGGTGCCAAAAAGTGAAAAAAAACAATACAATCCAAACAATGATGGTCATTTCATATTTGTAGTGGTAACAAAGGTGGTAGGGGGAACCACCAAATGAAATTTTGTCCAATCTCAACGTCATTTCTACGAAAATGGCTATTTGTAATATTTGCAGCGGCCTACCTATAAAGTAAAATAATTTGCAGAGTTTTAAAATAAAAAACTTTTATATCCCTGAAATTTTTCCGCGCGAGAAGGGACATACAAAATAAAAGACTACACGGATTACCCTTATTTGATGAAGATGCGAAAGTACACCCGAAACGCACGTTGCGAATGAAATATGCAAATTTTAATTAAAAAATCTCCAAATAGCTGTAGAGGCTGTGAATTCCTGATACATTAAACGTTTTACAGTCGAGCAGCGTGGAACTGGTGCACCATTTACTGGTACGTCAGTAACACGATAAGGATAGTTGTTTTGTAGTATGTGGCGAGAATCGCGGTCGGCGGATGCTCTTGCAACAAGGAACCCTTTGTGCGCGGTTCAACGCTCGTATCTGTGTGTCTCATCAATCATGAGGAAAATCACATGCGGAATGTACGACTACATTCAATGTATTTTAACGTTAGGACGTTTTACTTTGTATGTACGAGTATTTCTAATTAAATTCACGTGTTTTGCTCGGTTTATGTTCTATCCACATCAGATGCCCAAAATGTTTCAATGTTTCTCAGACGTGAATGATCATTTCGCTAGTTGCATAAATAATATTGTGACTTCGTCTATAAACCATAAGTTATATGCAGCTGTCACCAGCTCATGATTACTAAAGTTTCTTCACCGTTAAGCGTTGGCTTCGATGCTCAATTGGCGAAAAATCATGTCTTGTTAGTAGCGTTGCGCCGATACACCTTGCGGAACAAAACGCTATCCGACCAATTACTCAATGCTAAATAAATTATATGATTTATGCTAGATCACAAGATATTCTCGAACAACTAGGTTGCGGATAAAACATACATGCTTTTTGATCCGGTTTTTATAAAAATGATGTATGTACTAGAATTGTACAGTACTATCACATATGTATATATCGATCGCTCGACTGCCAGCAGATCGATAGGTATGTGACCTAAGTTCGAATAAGTGTTCGTCTAATAAATAAATTCATAGGTCTGACGTTAACATGGTATCTATACCGAGTTTAGCCTCAAACAATGTCGTCAGTATAAATAGCTCTATTACTGAGAATAACTAATAACTTGGTGAGGCCATTTTATATATTTTATATGTCCTCTCTATAATAATATTCAAACACGATTAAAAATTAAAGAAACGAATGACCAGTACTTTTTTTCAAGTATATTTGAAGCAATTGTACCTGATAACTGCTTTATGTTACAATAAACGTTTGGCAGGGCGTTCCGTCAGCGTTTTCCTTCATGCTTTGTATTTTACACCTGCTAATGGCACTTCTCGTTTAGAATACGTGATTCTCCAAACGAGGTTGTCTGGCGTTGTATCAGATCATTCTGGTGGTATAGAAATAAAAAGCTGATGTTCTGCAGCTAACTTCTAATACGGAGGTCTCGTCAAACATGTGTGAAAGCTTGTCAGTGCCTGTAAAGCAATTGAGATAGTATCGGTGAGTTCGCGATTGCAACCGCGGCGGCGCCGCCCACGTCGTCTGCGCCTCATGGCGCGTGGCGCGCGGAACGCCACCGGCGACAGATTTATGTGCCGATCGCATGACGCCCGCGCTAATTCCGGAAGCACTTCACAGCGCCACCGGCTGCTTAAAGCCCTGAACTGCCTACGCCCTCCATCTAACTCGGTAGCACCTCATGAACTCCCATCGCCGCCGCTTTCGGGGGTAATGTGTCACCGTTGACTTTTATTGCTGTAGTCACACCATTGCGTAAACTTTC